AAGATCAAGAAAATTCTTATCATTGGTGTTCATGGCTTTTTCCCTACCCGAATGATTAGACCTCTTATTGGCTCGCCTACTGGTACATCTTTGAAGTTTGCCAACGAAGCAGAGAAAGCTGTTATTAGATATTGCGTTGAGAATGATCTCATCAACGAAAGGGAGGCTAATAGTGTCAGCATTCAAAAGATTGCTCTCGAGAAGGAAGGAAAGATCTTTGATAGAGTTGAGTTTTTCTTCGAAATTTTGAAGAAATGGGAGAAAGAGTTAAATGATGCTGACTTCATCTACATCGCAGCGCATTCACAAGGTTGCGTCGTTTCCATCATCCTTTTTGCCAAACTCATCAAGCTGGGTGTCCTCAAAAATCCTAATTATAAAAGAATTGGTCTTCTTGGAATGGCTGGTATTAATAATGGTCCATTCTACGGAAGTGACAAGACATTTTTTATGAAAGCTTATTCCGCTATCGAGCACAACTCCTTGAATGAGTTATTCGAATTGACAAAATTCGATAGCAAGCAGTCCATCACCTACAAAGAATCCATGCAGACGATAATCAATGCTAACGTTAAGATTTGTTTCATTGGCTCCATTAACGATCAGCTAGTTCCTTTGTATTCAGCGCTTGCATCTCACATTTTCCATCCCAATATTTACAGAGCGTGTTATATTGACCACTCATCGAAGACTCCAGCCTTTATTCAAAAGCTTGTCTCGCTTTGTTGCCAGTTGCAAAACCTCGGATATTTTGACAATAATGTCATCAAGGAGATCAGCACTGTTTTGGCAGGACCCCTTACAGGTGGAGGGCACTCCAAAATCTACAACGATGGTAAAGTATACGACTTGGCCATCAAGTTTGCATTATGCACCGACGACATCGTTGCTCCTCCTAACACGATTCTGACACCATCAGAGAATGCTGTTACCATCGCAAAGCCTCCTGTTACGAATCAGATCTACGTGAAAGAGTATAACATCAGCAAAATCGGTACCAACCCCTATTTATTGCCGTGGTGCTTGCGCGGTTTTATTTTCAATATTGAGAAGAATTGGCCTCTCTCTGATGGTGCAATCACCGTGGGACATGCACTGGAGCTCAGAAAGAGCGGAGTTGAAGAGATTGACGAACTTTACGATCTGTTTGATCGCTGGAAGCCAGACAGCAAAGTTCTTAAAGACCTCAAATTCAGACTCAATGGAATTCGGGCGAGCAAGCTTTAGAGCTATTAGACATCTTTATATAATCAATGCGAACACCGCTGATATAGGGTATCGTAGGTGCGAAGGCGCGTCTTTCTAAAAGTTGATCCGTATATCCCCACTACCGTTAAAAAATTACCCGACAACCACCTCCTCATCTAGAATAAAGCGGTGATATAGATATGGAGTTTTCGGTTAGGATTAGCCCGAGACAAGCTCAAAGGGGACATAATGGAGACTTGAAGACCGTTGCAGAAAAAAGCGTGTCTTCAGAAGCCCCAGACGGAAGGAACATGCCACTCAAACTAGCTCAGCTTTTGAACTCAGAAAGTGAAGATCTGGAGCTGAAGATTTCTACCAGGGCAAGCTCTGTGGGCGTAGAGTCGTCATCACAGTTGCCCGATGGAGAAACTGAGTCTGTGCCTGTAAACACAGCTCCCGGAAAAAGCATCATGAAAATCAGCTATGAACAAACATCAAATGACCAGCATGGCCTCATGACACCAGAAAGTCTGGAGAACATGTCGCCTCTGGGCTTGACGGCTTTAAATGAGGAAAACGAGTTGAATCAGTGCCTAGAGTTTGATGCACGGAAATCCACCCTTCTTTCAAAACACCTACATCTTTCATGGAACGAGATCAAAAAAGAAGCTCTCGCTCGCCTGCAACCGGATGGCTTTACAAAGGGTGAAACTGACTTAATAGTGCATGAGTGGTTCAGCCCGGGTCCTATTGATTTTAGAAGACTCGAGGAAGAATGTTTCTCCCGCAGCGGGAAAGCAATTCAAGCACTCGTTGCAAACCTTTCAGTCCACTATAGTGACTTGATCGAGCCAAACTTGCGAATAATATCTACACTTGAAACCTGTCTAGCTCGTCAAGAGTACATGAAAAGTGATGTGCTCAAATATCTTTCCGAAGATTCCATTGCAAATATGTGTGCTCTTCTCCCGAAAAGGCTGCCCATGAGGCCAAGGTGGCTGACCCGTGAAGTACATTTTATGACAACATGCATCGAAAACAGAATGGCCGAAGAGGAAATTAGATCAGAATTGGTTTTCCGTACACCATCGCAAGTCAGATACAAGATCGCTGCATTGACCAAAAAGATTGTCAAAACTAATCCCGATTTTTTGGTGGAGGAGAGAACTCATGACCCAGAGCATGATGGATTGATCGAACGATTGTTGGAGAATGATCTTACGAAGAGTGGTATCTACAATGAATGTGGAAAAACATTGGGTAACAAAATCATACAAAGCTTGAATTCTATCATTGAAAAGAAGGGCGGCAGCCATCAAGTGCCTTTTAGTAAGGCCGAACTGGATTATCTAAGGAACATTATTCGATCCGAGTATTCCGTCCAAGAAATCCAGAACGAGCTTATATTCAGAAGTGAGGACGAAATTCAAGATAAGCTTAACTCACTTCAAATCATCTGCGTTCGCCAAAAGAAGTTTTCAAACAGAAATGAGCGACTTATGTATGAGGCACAGTGGTACGCGTCACTTGCAGGCTCGAGTCAAGGAAGAAGAAGACGGGGCCGTGAAGATGACGGCAATAGAGAGTCCTCTCCACATGTCGATGATGGACGCAAAAGGAGGCAGAATAATATTGACGAAGAGAGACGTCGTGACATAATCGAAAGGGCTGCGATGAAAAGAAGAGAAACATTACGCCTCAAGCGTGAAGCCAGAGAAAGGCGCTTGGAAGCGCAGCAAGCTCGTGTAAAGGCTAGAACGGTGCTGATGAAATCGAAGCGACAACTAAGAAGTCAGGAGAGACCAAAGACTCCTGTGGATTCTCTTTTGGCTGACGCCTCTTGGTTTCAGAGTATCACAGGTGATGGCACGACAGTTCAGCAAGGCCAGAAGCGTGCACGAAAGCAAGCTGTTCATTTTGTACCAGAGTTTGAATCCAGGCAAAAGATGAAGTTGGTGAAGAAGAAAATGGAAGAAAGAAAGCTAGAGAAAAAACGGCTATTAAGGAAGAGAAAACATGAGAAGAAACGAAAGTTGAAGCTTCGTCCTGGCAGAAGAGGCCGCGGTCGGCCAAAGGCAGAGGATTATACTGACGATTCAGAGAGCGAGTCGGAGTCTGAATCAGAGTCCGAAGAATCCGAGACTACCCCAGAGATCGATGTTGCCGATGTGTCAGACGAGGAGGATGAGCCAAGTCCATTTGACCCTATAAATGTCCTCAATGACACCCAAGTTCCTACGAAGGGAAGACAATGCTTCAATGATGCTGTCACCGCAATTTCGACCGAGCCCGATACCATTTCCTTTTCTCCAGATACGCTGATGTTGGATCCCGAAGCTCAAGTACCTCTCATTGATACCACGGCCATTGATGTCATCGTGTCTCACAGTCGGAACTACAAGTCATTGCCAAAGTCGTTCCCTCCATTTACCATTCAAAAAGATGGCAATACCATCATTAATCCAAGAAACATTGTGCGAGTGCGGTATCTCCTCTACCCGGAGCACTCTGATGCATACATTCTAGCTCTTCCCAAGAGTAACGAGCTCAACCCAGTTTACGAAATTCAAAAGATGATGCAAATACAGAGTGCTCTTTATTTTGCACATTCCCCCGAGCTCCAGACTCATATATATGAGGAATACTGCCAGAAACTCAAAGCGTGTGCCGAGAATGACAAATTTTATCAGTTCATGGTTATCATCGACAGATGGAATTTGTTAATGTTGGAGCTCACTCCTTACAGGTTGAGAATCGACCCGTCTTTTGACATCAACAACGAGATAAGGTATTACTTGCCTTTCAACTATCGAAAAAATCATTCGGTCGTTGATCTTAACTTGAACAAGTTTTTCTTCGACGTGGTGAATAACGGTAAACCCAAACCACCTCGTGGTAGGAAACCCAAAAAGGCACATGAAGTAAAGCAAGATGGTCGATTGTCAAACCAAAATAAAACTGGAGGTGACTTGGCTTCGAATATGCAAAACGGGAGTACGGACACTGACATACTCAAGTCCAGATACCATAACACGCGTCCTGCGGAATATCCAGAAAGCTTCTTGCGCATACTAGCGTACCAAAAGGATATCTCAAGATTTGCGGTTCAACAAATTTTGACCACAGCGTATACAAGAATTGTCGGTCCAAACTCGAGGAAACTTCGTTCATATAAGGCCTTCACTGCTGAAGTCTATGGTGAATTGCTTCCTTCTTTCATCTCCGAAGTGCTCACTAAGGTTGGACTTCAACCAACACACCTGTTTTATGATTTGGGTTCTGGTGTTGGAAACACGACTTTCCAGGCAGCTTTAGAGTTCGGTGTCAAAGAAAGTGGTGGCTGTGAAATCATGTCGCATGCATCAATGTTAACGAATCTTCAACACTTATTTTTGCAAAGGAAAATTCAGGCATTGGGTCTTAATCCGATGAATTTGTCTTTTGCTCTATCGCAATCGTTTGTCAATAACGAAGAGGTGAGAGAAAAGTGCCTTAGATGCAATGTTGTCCTTGTTAACAACTACCTCTTTGAATTTCCACTCAATGTTGAGGTAGGGAAACTTTTATATGGGCTTAAGCCTGGTTCCAAAATCATCAGTTTGAAGAATTTCATTCCACCAAGATATAAGGCAGGCCCAGAGAAAACAGTTCTTGACTACCTCAAAGTGGAAAAGTTTGAGATGAGTGACTTCTTCTCAGTGAGTTGGACAGCTAACAAGGTGCCCTACTACATCTCCACAGTTATGAAGGAGGTTCGTCCCGAATATCTATAGGATGCTAATTAGTAAAAATACATATTGGGTAAGGTTACTTCAATTTTCACTCTCAGTTTTGATCTTTTTCACTTCTTCAGCTGTCTGATCAACCTGTTTTCTCTTTTTGGCGCTTCCGTTGCCATTAACATGACCTTCATCCGAGAGAGGGTCAACTGAAGCCTGCTTCAAGGCACCGTTTGGTGTACTGCTGGCTTGCTTTCCTTTTTTCTTTCCCAGACCACCATCGTTCTCACGAGCAAGTGCAAGCATCAAAGTATTCACTCTTCTGCTTATTTCCTGTGGCGTTCTAGAGAGCATGTAGAAATCGAACTTGAAAAGATCACTTTCTTGGATTTCCTCCTTGATCTTTTCTCCTAGCCTGTCAGAAAAGATCCCATGCTTGTTGACACAGAAAAGGATGAACCTGTCTTCGAGTTTTGAGTAGATGCGCTTCGAGTTGTTCGGAGGATACTGAATTTTGAGCTCTTCAAGAGGGTCTTCAGCTTCTTCGATCTTGCTAGCGAGAATTCGTTGCTGATTTTGCATTTTAGAAGCCTTTCGTTCACTTGCTTCTATCTGTGCAACATACTTCTCATGTCCTTCAATTTCCTTGTGGCAATCCCAAAATTTCTTTGCATACCTTTCAATCTCCTCGACGTCCCTGGAGAGAGAATTTGCAATGTCTTTGTAATTGTGTCTTCCGTAACGAGCTGATGAGTGAATAAAATTGGTAAAATCTCTTCTGGACCAGGAGTGGAAACTTTCCTCTAAGAGCTTTTCTTTTAGCTCGAGTTCTTCCTCTGTGAGTGGTTCAGCTTCCGCAATTCGCTTTTGCTCGAGTGCCAATCTCTCCTCTCGCTCGAGTCCTTCATTCTCATCATCTTCATTCAAAAATTCTTCATCACTATCGCCAAAGTCGTCAGCAGAATACTGATAATTTGTAGCCTTCTTGTACGCAAGCTGTTCTCTCTCCAAAAGGTCACGAAGCTCAGTTGGGAAGAACTGATGGTCTTGATAGTGGTACACCTTTGGTTGTCTCATTTTGACAGGCGCACCTTGTTTGTTGAGTCCACCCGGTGCTTTTAACATGTCTTTATAGTAGCTGTCGACTGAGTAAGTTTGTTCTTTTCTTTCACGTTTTGAAGGATTGATCCATGAGAGGCCCAAGCCTTCATTGCCACGCTTGGCAAAGTTTTCACCGTTCCACTCGTAGACTGAAGCATCCGACGTGAAATTTTGAAGGTCGTCGAGCCCAAGCTTGTTGAACTTGGCGTTGAGAGTTGCTGTTTTCTCTCTTCCCCTTGCCAAAATGGCGTCAACGTCGTCATCAAGCATCGCGGATCCTTTGGATTCAAAGACCTCTTTAGCACCATGTTGAATCATGCCCAACAAATCGTCAGTTGTGTTACCGATACTGTTACCTGAAGACTGTCTGCCTTGTTGGATGACCAATTGATCGAGTCTAAGTTTTTGAGCAGCTCTATCGAGGACCTTCTCCTCGATTGCGTTTTCAGTTACGAACCTGAATACCTGGACTTGCTTCTTCTGACCAATTCTGTGAGCTCTATCCATAGCTTGGAGATCAGCCTGAGGATTCCAGTCAGAATCAAAAAGGACCACGATATCAGCGGATGTTAAGTTGATTCCCAATCCACCAGCTCTTGTAGTCAACAAGAAGATAAACTTGTCGGAATTGGGGGCATTATAGTCATCAATTGCCTCAATTCTGTCTTCGTGGGAAGTAGAACCATCGATTCGACAGTACTCGTAGTCCCTGAAGAAACAATAATCTTCCAAGATGTCTAGTAAACGCGACATTTGTGAGAAGATCAAGACACGAGATCCGGCTGCTTTGAACTTTTTCAACATCTTGTCAAGAATGATCATTTTGCCCGCATTGAAAACCAAATGTTCGTCAGTCGTGTAGGGAGGGCCTGGCTCAGCGCCGTCGAATAAGTAAGGATGGTTACAACACTTTCTCAATTGCATGACAATGTTGAGCAATCTCGTTTTTCCTTCTCTTTTACCAACGACACCGTTCACAGCATCAATATCCTTCTCGAGAAGCTTCTTGTACCATTGAATCTGCATGTTGGTCATTCCGATGTAAACGTTCGTTTCTATCTTGGGTAACAACGACTTTTCAACATCGGCCTTCACACGTCTGAGAAGGAAGGGACTCAAAACCTTATGAAGTTGTTGGACTACCTTGTCTTGGTCATTCTCATCCGAATCTTCCTGGTTGGTATTGAACCATTCATCGAACACGTTTGAGTCTCCAAAAACATCGGGTAGAAGGAAATTAAGAAGGGCCCAAAGCTCGTGCAAGTTATTCTGAAGTGGTGTTCCTGTGATAAGAAGACGATTCTTGGAGTAGAATAAACGAATAATCTGAGAGAGCGAACTAGACTCATTCTTGATTCTGTGAGCTTCGTCCACGACGACATATTGCCAACGGAACTTCTTGAGTTGAGCCTTTTCTCTGATGACCATCTCAAAAGATGTGATCAAAACGTCGAATCTGGCAGTGAGAAGCCTCTCTTTAATGATCTTTTGACGTTCTTCCTTGTTACCTTGTAGAACCAAGACATTGACTTCTGGAGTCCATTTCTGAAACTCACGTCTCCAATTATCAAGCGTGGATTTTGGCACGATAACAATGAAAGGCCCATCAATGTTCTTTATGTATCGAAGGTAGCCCAAGAAAGAAATCGTCTGGAGTGTCTTACCGAGGCCCATTTCGTCAGCCAATATACCACTGAGTCTATTCTCGTAAAGCGATATAAGCCAGTTGAGACCCTGTATTTGGTACTCTCTCAACTTTCCGCTCTTAACGTAGTTGGGAGATTCGGTGAGAACGGTCCTTTGTTCAGCATCGTCCCCCATATGTTCTTCGTCCTCAAGAAGTTCAGCGTCTTCCTCCTTTTCAGTCTTTCTGCGGCCCTTCTTTGGCTTCTTTGCAGGCTGCTTGAAGTTGATTTGTCCGTCGATCAGCTTAATCAACTTCTTGAACTTGGGATCCTTGGACATGTTGATATCAATGAAATATCTGAAAAGGTCAGTGAGACCCAACAAATACTTGAATCTCTTCGTTGAATCGTCAACGTCATTCTCTTTAGCCACTTTTGGATCACAGTTAAGCAAAAACCTGTTGCGTCTTTCTAGCTCCTCTTTATTTAGCGAGGAAATGTCAACGGGTTCTTCGATCTGAGGTTTATCATCTTCACTATCACTGGACTCCGCGTAGTCGACGGAGTTGTTTTTTCTGCCAGCCATGGAGCTTGGATCTGGTGATGTAAAAAATAGGCGATTTGTAAAATTTGAAAATGTGTATGATTTTGTCTCTCGGTTTGTTGAGGTGGATTTCAACCTTGAAGGGTGTACGGGCTTTGGGGTTATTACCTGCGCTCATCTGTGTTTTTGCGGCTTGCGCAGGTATGCTTAACGCGCTACAAACGGGTGCGAAAAACTACAGGAGCTACAGAGGGGGAGCAAGGAGAATGAGGGAATTTTAAGTTGTAAGCAACAATCGAATTTATTTGTCATGGATCGACGTCGCTTTCGTTTTGTTGATATTCTGAGGCTAGCGCCATCGTTTTGGAGCATTGTGCGGCTGCAGATCAGTATCTCTGACGGATAGCGTGTGCCGAATGTCAATTGTATAGACAATCCCAGGAGAGCTCCACCCTGGTATCATCTTTTACATGGTGAAAGCTTCGGATATTCTGCTTTTACTCAGTGACAGAATTTCCTTCCAATAAACCCCAGTCGATTGGACGGAGCAGGTTCTTTGAGAGCCACTCGTTACAGGTTTTGAACACTTTCAGATCGAAGAATCCTCTTGAAGCCGACAACGGAGAGGGATGTACTGTCCTCAAGACAAGAAATGGGACATCTGAGGAGTTCAATTGGGCGCCGAAATTGGCCACCCTCTTCTGGGCTGGCGAGCCCCACGCCATGATCACAAAACCCTTTCCTCTTTCTTTCTTTGCGTAGTTAATCGCAACCTTGATAACCTCTTCTGTAAAACTCTCCCAGCCCTGGTTGGCGTGACTATTGGCCTTGTGAGCCTCGACAGTCAAACAAGCATTGAGCATGAGAACACCTCTCTTGGCCCACTTGGTCAAGTCTCCTCCACCAGGCCTGCCCTGTTTGCTCAATTCCTTGTAGTCCGGTATCTGGAACAGTGGAAAGTCGATTTTGAGGGTTTTGTAGATATTCAAAAGTGATGGTGGGGGCCTAGTGGGCTCCAAAACCAGAAATGCAAGGCCGTGGGCTTGGTTGAAGTTGTGATATGGATCCTGACCTAAGATGAGGCATTTCACGTCAGGCAATGGAGTGAGGTGTGACCATGAATAGATGCTTTTGGGTGGAGGAAACACGGTCTTGTTTCCCATCTGTACTTGAAGAAAGCGCTTGAGTTTCAAAAAGTACGGTTTCGTGAGCTCTTTGTGAAGATATGCGAGCCATGTGATATGCAATGTTCTGATTTCGAGGTCAAGTAATTGTCTCTGTTCCTCTGTAAGCGTGTTGATCCATTCATCTTTGTTGAAACCGGCCTCCTCGAGGAAGGCAGTATAGTCAGGTTGGTCTGTTTTAAGATCACTTTTTGCAGGAGCTTCTATATGTTTGCCATTTTCTGATTGAGCAGTCAAGGTGATTTCCTCCTTCACGACTTCTGCTTTTTGCTTTAACTCATCTTTCTCGAGATCGGCTTTTACCGTAACTTCAGTCTTCGAAACTTTCGGCTTACGCGTCGGCTTGTTGTTGGCCTGAGCAAAGAATTCAGTTATAAGCTTTGGCTTCTTTGTGGATTCTGAAGCAGGCTCCAGCGGCCTTTTTTCTATGGACATGAGTCGTAAGGAAGGTGTTCTGTTAGATATCTATGTGCATCTTCTACGCGACGCGCAGTCTATGGGCCCGCAGGCATTATCTAAAAAACCTTGGACATGTGGTACGGATACCCTGGATCTTTCCTCAAAAACATGCTGGTGAGAGAGCTGTAGAACAAATAAAGCACGCCTGTCCCGATTATGGTAAGCACTAGTCTGGCTGGCTCGGACGAGATCACCGTGTCGGGGCCTACTCGGTATCTACCCAAGTAGATCAAGAAAACGAGGGCTGCTCCTAACAAGAAGTAATTACCACCCACGAGAACGATTTCGTCTCCAAATTGCCAGTGCAAGCTGCCACTGACGTACATTATGTTCCCCTTTGGGTCTCTGGCCAAGAAGGGGATCCCCTGAATGGCAGTGAAGGAGTAACCACCAAGAATGACAAGAAGGGTGGTAAGCGTTATGATCTTGTAAATGAGGGCTTTGTTGACCGAGCCGGTGATAAAGCCTGGTCCGCGTTTTTTGATGTAAAGAATGGCTCCGAAGGTGAGACCAAATGTGGTCACAAACTTCATGAACGGGTTTTCTTGTCTGAGCATGATTTTCTTTTGAACCGTATGAGCAAGCCAGTCTGCAAGTTGGAAAGTCTGTGTATTAAGACTGGCATCTGGAATCTCGAAGTTGGCATGAGGTTCAAGAAGAATCTCGTAGTTGCCATAGACAACGTTACCATCGTCGTCCACAACTCGCTCTTTCTTGCTATGCATAGCAACAACCGATGAAGGTGGTACGAGCCAGACCTGTGGCACTGTTTTCAATTTAAGATAATCAAAGACTGGCTTATTGGATTCATCTGCAAGGTCAATTGTTGCAAAGAATAGGTAGTGGGACCACATGTAATCAGCAAACCAAGCCTTGGATACTCCTGGAAGCATCGCCTTAAGATCACGACAGGAGTCACAGTTGTGTTTTGGGTCAGTGGACGTAATAGCTATCAAGGTGTAGTGTTCCCTATCCGGTTGTGATATGGGAGAGAGGTCCCCATTAGTTATGGCGATTATGCCGTCAGGCAGGGCCAAAGAAAGCTCTGTAAGCTTAAGGGCTTGCTCAGTTTCTGCAGCCACAAAAGCCACCCATGCCAATAGAATATGCAAAAGCACTATCATCACTGTTATTATGATATCTTGGTTCGCGCTGAGATATTGGTGCACCCAGGTAGTCCTCCAGACGGGAAAGTTAATAAGCTGATCGGAGCTTATTGAAAATTGGGTTCCGCGATTGGCCAAGGAAGGAATTCAATTGGACTGGCTGCTCGTGTAATTCGGTTTAAGTGCTACGCTTGTCTCGTTTTGTCTCGTCTATTTCATCGATTAGGAGGACTCCTCTGGGTCTTCTCCCACAAATTCCTCCTTTTCGTCTCTATTTATAACCATAAACCCAACGGTGACAACAGCAGCACCGAAGATGTACCATGCGTTCACATGGAAGCCCCTAATGAACCAGTCGCCGACCATCGCCAACGGGATTGTGAGCGAAAGACCGACTGTAACCGTCAAGGGACTGGTGAGAAGCACAGCTTTGCACCAGCAAAAGTCGGAGATAAATGTAATGAAGGCATTGGCACCTAGAAGGGCTAAAACATACAGGCCCTTTGGTACTTCGAACTCCTCGAGGCCAGTGAAATGGAGAATGATGATCAAGGGCCAGAGGAACACAAGGCAGTAGAGCCCGACAAAGCCGAAGAAAAGATGGGTGTTCAAAATCCGCTCCTTCCGCTTGTCAGGTACGGTGATCTTCTTCTTAAGGAGAATGGTGTACACGCCGTAGATGAGTGCTCCAGCTAAAGCCAAGAAGTTACCCCATAGTATAAGCATTGGGGACGAGGCTGTTGGGGTCTGGTTGGAGTCTGAGGCATCAATCTTTGTTACAATGAGAACACCAGCGAAGGAAAGAAGAATTCCAATAATCTTGTTTCTGTTGATCGTCTCAACCAGGTAGAAGTGTCCCACGATAAGGGTGAAAAATGACGATGTCGAGGACAAAATTGTCTGAGACGCAACAGAAGTGTATGAAAGTGACGAGTTGGTCACCAAATTCGCCAGAAACCAGAGCACGATGAACTGGAGGGAAAGTTTGATTGTTTCGATCATTGGCACCTCCTCATCAGCAGGCTTAACGACTTCCGGTGGAGGCTCTGCCGTGGATAACTGCTCCATCAGCAGACCATATTCATTCGGCGTTTCCGGCAGCAGTTCCTGGTCTCTGAGACGTGTGTACCTTTGTTGATTCCAAGATCTGCGAATAACGGCAATAAAGTCATTCACCGAGAGACGTTCGTACTTCATGTACGGTATGAGGAACAAAGTAAAACAGGAGGTATTGATCCATGTAATGAAGAAGGGTTTCCGATAGATCTTTGTCTCGAATAGATCGTTAACGAGGAACGAGGACAGGACCCAAAAAAGCACCACAGCAGCTAGATTAACCAAACCCAACACCCATTTTTGTGCCAGAGAGAGTTGACTCTCCTGAAGGAAAAACGACTGGAAAAACGTCACTGTTGCCGTCAGTAGCCTTCTGAACATACGGGTTGGTTTTATCGACAAGAATGGCAGAGGTATAGATATGACTAAGTGCACTCCAAGTGGAACGGCTCACTGGCAACATAAAAGCGAAGCCACAGACAGGGAAGGCTACAAAATGGCTGATACCAATAACTTTATTAATTTACCTAAATATGACGAAACCAAACTACTCGAGCCATCTTCTCTTCTTCTGTGCACTGAGAGTGGCCTGCTTAACCCGCGACGAGGCAGGGTAAAAGTACGTAGGGTAGCCAGCCACCGATGCCGTGTTCACCTTCGAGGTGACAGTGTAGTCCCAGCCAGGAGTGATGGTGGACAATGCGACGGGCGATGGGCTGATCGACTTGAATGGGGTGTATGCCGAGGTGGGGTGTCTCCTGGAGAATGTAGTAGCGGTGACAGTAGTGTCCGGTTGGGTTTGCATTGGTGCGTACTTGGTCTTACCGGTCTGCAAAGTGTAGGTGACCGAGAAAGACTTGGAGTTCACTTCAGTGTTTCCGCCTGCGGCCATGAGCACGGGCGAAGGCTGGTCACCCGTCACGGAAAACAAAGAAGCAGGGAATGTAAATGTGTTGGACTCACCGGTCATGCCAGTCAACTTGAATCTTGGAGTGTAGTGGATAGTGTAGCCGTCGTCAGGGAACACAGAGTACACCTGGATGAAGTACTGACCGCTTGGAGCAAGGTTGGATTTGATCTCAGCATCGTACGAGGTCAGCGAAGACAGCAAGGACTTCTCGAGCGTGGCAACAGTACCGATATTGCTGTTAGAGCCAGTGCACAAGACGATGGCGTAGGACTTGACCTTGGAAAGGGAGTCTGTGTCGTCCGAGTCGTCTGAACTGTCCTTCCATTTGATGCTGACCTTGGCCACACCGCCCAGGACACTGTAAGAGTCGCCTGAGGATGGATCGGAGATGTCGACGTCGGCCACAACGAACTTGAGGAAGAAAAGGGCAACAAGAATAAGGAGTTGCATGGTGTGATATGGTTTGCTCAAAGAGCTATGTAATGATCTTTTGGTTGCTGGGAGCGAGTGGATGCAAGCCGTGGTCTGCCGGGGAAATGGTTCCTTGAAAGTGCCAAAAATTCAACAAGAAACGTCACTTGGTTGACGTGAAAGACAAGAGTTTGCTTGGGCAAGAAACAAAGAAGCCACGAAAAAAAGGCTGTGTCAGGCAGGCTTCTCAGGCATATACTCGCGAGTCTTTTTTTTTTTTTTTTTTTTACCCTGCTCCAGCTGTTTTTGTTAGGCAACAGAAAAGCGCGGCCGTGATTGAGACGCCGGCTGTGCTAAATGCTAGGAGACTGAGATCCAAATGGCAGAGTGCTTTGTGGGGAAGGACTTTTTATAGTTGTCATTTCAAAAAAAAATCATAAAATTCTGTCCACTTTTTGAGTTTCAAAATGGACTCACCCGACGTTATTGGCTGTGTTGCGCACTGGGTGCAAATTCAATAGTGCCAAGTCCAGTGAGTTGCTACCGCAAAAGGAACAGGATCTCCGGCACTAGCAAAAGGGTAAAGCCAAAAACGTAAAAAACCTGAGACACCAGGGATCTGGAGGTATTTCTTTTCGATAAATTTTTGAACGCTGTTTATGGCGGGACGTGTTTTCAGGAACTTCTATTTTTATCTCTGCCAATGTTTTCTCACCACAACATCCTCAGCCCAGCCTCTTCAGTCCAACTCCTTACAACCACCTCTTTCTCCGGGCATCGGAAAGCGTAGCCAGACGGATTCTTGAAGATGCAGGGTACCAGTACGTAGGAAAGGTATTGATGGGCTGGGTGTTTTCTCTCGAGTTGATGGTGTATGTTCTAGAAGCCGTGGTGGTGGTCCAGGCGTCCGGGAAATGACTGATGGTCGAGTACGCCGTGTAGTCGGACGTTGCGTGTCTCGAGTTGTATGTTGTTTGTGTCACGGCACTCGTTGGGTTGGGCTGCATGGGAGCGTATCTGACCCACCCAGACTGTGCTGTGTATGTGAGCGAGAAGGACTCAGTCTCAACCTTCAAGGCGGTACCACCAGCGTTCCACTGAGGCGAGGGCTGTTCGCCCGTGTATGAGAAAAGGGAGTTGGCGTACGTGAACGACAGCGTTCCTCCATCCATGCCTGTGAGTCGGAACCGGTTGGTGTAGTGGATGGTGTAGCCCTCATTAGGGAACTGGGTGTAGATCTGGAAGAAGTAGTATCCGTTGGGCCCAACGTCGTTTTCGATTTCGGCAGCAAACGAACGGTCGGTGTTGGAGATACGTGTACCAACCTGCGTGACTGTGCCTATGTTTTCGTTATTTCCCGTCATGAGGACAATATCGTAGTGGTTGGCGTTGTCTAGATCTGAGAAGTCAAACCCTTCAACATCGTCCTCCCACTCGATGTCGACCGTGACCAGGCCGCTGGAAGCATCGAAGGTTTGGCCAGACTCGGGCTT